CTAGCGATGGCCTCCAACCTACTAGCAATGGCCTCCAACCTACTAGCAATGGCCTCCAACCTACTAGCGATGGCCTCCAACCTGCTAGCCATGCCTCCAACCTACTAGTGATGGCTTCCAACCTTTGTACTAGCAATGGCCTCCATGGCCTCCAACCTGCTAGCGATGGCCTCCAACCTACTAGAAATTGCCTTCAACCTACTAGCGATGGCCTCCAACCTGCTAGTGATGGCCTCCAACCTACTAGCAATGGCCTCCAACCTGCTAGTGATGGCTTCCAACCTACTAGCAATGGCCTCCAACCTACTAGCGATGGCCTCCAACCTGCTAGCGATGCCCTCCAACCTACTAGCTTATAGTGATGGCTTCCAACCTATACGTACAAGCAATGGCCTCCAATCTACTAGCGATGGCTTCCAACCTACTAGTGATAGCGATCGCCTCCAACCTACTAGTGATGGCTTCCAACCTACTAGCGATGGCCTCCAACCTACTAGCAATGGCCTTCAACCTACTAGCGATGGCCTCCAACCTACTAGTGATGCTCCAACCTACTAGCAATGGCCTCCAACCTTCAGGCGATGGCCTCAACCTACTAGCAATGGTCTCAACCTGCCTACTAGCAATGGCCTCCGACCTACTAGTGATGGCATCCAACCTACTAGCGTTGGCCTCCAACCTACTAGCAATGGCCTCCAACCAATTAGCGATGGCCTCCAACCTACTAGCGATGGCCTCCAACCTACTAGCAATGGCCTCCACCCTCAGAGCGATGGCCTCCTACCTACTAGTGATGGCTTCCAACCTACTAGCGATGGCCTCCAACCTACTAGCAATGGCCTCCAACCTGCTAGCGATGCCCTAAAAACCTACTAGCGATGGATGGCCTCCAACCTACTAGCGATGGCCTCCGATCTACTAGTGATGGCATCCAACCTACTATAGCGATGGCCTCCAACCTACTAGCGATGGCTTCCACCCTAACAGTGATGGCCTCCAACCTACTAGCAATGGCCTCGTACTTACTAGTGATGGCCTCCAACCTACTAGCATTGGCCACCCTAAGAGCGATGGCCTCCAACCTACTACGATGGCCTCCACCCAGAGAGTGATGGCATCCAACCTACTAGCGATGGCCTCCAAGCTACTAGCGATTATTCCAACCTACTAGCAACGGCCTCCAACCTACTAGTGATGGGCTCGACCCGAATAGCATTAATGGCCTCCAACCAAAAAACATGATGTGGCCCCGAGTTCGGAGGAGCATTTTGATAAATCATCCACTTCGACCATCTTCGACCAACTAATGTAGACTCTTGATTGATAAACCAATCCATTTGGCGATTGACAATACCTCTTCATGTGGGGGTATTATCAATCAATGAGTCTACTTGACAGTATAAGTAGTCGCCAATGCTCAACGTCGATGCCGATTTGCGGAGCAGCCGAACCGGCATTTTCGGGTCGCCGGGAGAAACTGTTGAAAGATCCCATCCATCCAAAGTGTCCCAGAAGGACATGTCCGAACCAAAGATCAACGTCTCACGGGACAAGGACACGGATGTTCACTTTAACCATGCGCATTTGGGCGATTTTAGGCGATTTTTGTTTTTTTGGTCCGAATCTTAGATTCTTCACAAGTGTGGGGGCAAAAACACAAGCAGTGAGTGGCCTTGTCCAAGAAAGATACCTTCCCAAAACTTGCATGGAATCTGAAACTTGGACCCATCAAATGAGTTCTTTTCTCTTGCGAAGCACCTGTTTTCAGGTTCTATGCTTGATCTCGGGAAGCAAGTCGTACCTTTAGCTAGCTCCAGAGGAGCAATCCGTGCATAGCACCTCGGATGCTGGCGCTGAGCCATGTCACTGAACGAAGACGTGCATGATGAAGATCTAATCATATCCATAATGGTTGGCATGGCCAGCCGAGTTCGGGATGGCTTTGGACCGAACCGGGGTACTGGAACAGAGCATGGGCCTCCACATGGACCCTCCAAGATTGGTCAAACAAGTCTGGTGCCCAGGTCCACCAGTTCCAGGGTTCTTTCAGCAGAAGAGCAAATCCGGACGACCAAATCAGCCACATGCTTGGAGAATCTGATTGCAGCTTGCAGCATGTTGTGGTCCAGTCCTGAACAGACTGGAACCGATCCCCCGAAACTCCAACGAAAACCCTCCGATGCGGCACGCTTTCCGACCACCCCCCCCGCGCCCGACCGAGCTGGACCGAACAAGAACACTGACCGAGCATGGCTCATCCCGAGCGCTCGAACCGAGATCCGTGCGCTCCGCGTGGAGCCGGAGAGAGTCCGTGCGCTCGGTCGAAACTCGGCCGAGACTCGGTCGAAAAGGCGCGGCGCCGGTCGACGTGGGGTGTCGGGATGGATCCGGTGTCGTCAGACGAGGTCATCGAAGTGGATGAAACGAACGCGAGCTGCTCCGAACGCGGTGGAAAGAGCCCAAGATTGGAGTGATAGCCTTTAAAGTTCAGAGGTTATTTCACCATTAAATGATCGGTGCTCCTCAAGGTCATGGT